AAGTAACCGAATTGGGCATTAAAGCAGTAAATAGCTGGTATAATGAAATAAAATATTTTGATTTTCAAGGATCAAACGATGACATGGCTGCTTCCACAAGAGCTTGTAATTTAAAAATAATCTTTGACTATTTCCTGTCTTAAACATTTTTTCTTATGAGTAATTTAGAAATTAATTTATTAAACGTTTAAAACGTAAAATTATTCAATTTTTTAGATTTATTTTTAATAGTAGTGTTCAACATTTGAATTATTTTTGTTTTTAACATTCGYTTAATTTGCTTAAAAAGATATTTATTTGTTTAGTTTAACTATCATYGTGAATTGTGATATACAGTTTCATCAATGAAATTATATGATTTTTGGTTTTTAATTATATATTTTGTATACGTTATTGCTAATAGGTTTTAGTACATTCAATAGATACAAACACAGAAATAAACATTTTAGCAATAAATAGATTGATACATTTAAATATTTTATAATTTTAATGTAATTTCTAAATTAAATTAAAAAGTAGAATATACATTATACACGTATAAAAATAAATATATTTTCTCGTTACTTACCGGTAATTTATGAAATTCAATAATTTCATTATTTTTTTCAGTTCACTTTACTCAAGTTATTTGGAAGGACAGTAGTGAGCTGGGCGTTGGTGCAGCCAAAAGTTCTAAATCTGGAAAATTATACGTAGTGTGTAATTATGACCCACACGGAAATATTAGATCGCAATTTAAAGATCAAGTATTGCAAGCATCAATTGTTCCATGATCAGATGAGTCACAACTAAATTAATAAATGTATACACACTAAAATATTATATTCAAATCGATTCTTGTTTGGGAGATAAAAAAAAACACGATCAACAATGTTGTTTGAATTCAATTTTAAATTTTAATTTCATATAATAATTATTCAATAAAGATAACTTTACRCTAATAAGGCTTTTAGTTATGTCAATACAAAAGATACAAGGGTTCGAGAGTAAGATAATTAGTCTCTATTATTTATCATTGTTCCCACAGTTGAACAATATCGCATGTACCAAAACGTCAGCGTGTGATATTGTACTCGTAGTATAAGAAAATAATGCTATCACATTAATACATATTTAATATAATACGACAAATAGTCTATGACTTAAAATATAAATATACATGTACATACATTTATCGATTAAGTCTACTTTGTATGATTTTCATACATTGATATAATGTTATATAAATAGAGTCATAAATATATAGGAACTAAAGTCTAGACAAATTTCATCACCATGGCGATGTCCTATATATAAAATGTCTACAAGTTTAGTTAATTTTTTGCTTTGAGTTTAACGAACGACAAGATATACCTATAGGTATATATTTATATACCTACCTATTGGTATTTTTAATGTATTTTTTTCATTTTCGTATACTATAATAATATTTTAGTATAACACTCACATCAATCGCGTATTGACAAATCAAATGGTCCCAGGTTCATGTGTTCACCAATGACACAAAAACTTGCAAAATTTACAACATCAGGTATACATTTTATGAACGTCAACAAGAAAATAAAAACGGGGCACGATATATATATAACTATAATAATACAATAAAGCGTGCAAGTAAGAAAATATGTATACWATAATATCTTAGTTTATAACAATTAATACAATATAAAGGGAGGTACATCACTGATTTAATTTTGGGGTTTTCTAATAGAATCGTATACCTACTTTATTGTTTTAGTTTATATCTGTCTGGTATGCACTCTACAATGGCAATCAAACCCCTCATTTGTGTCAACAGCTTGAGTATTATTTTTCAATAACCAGGACCATGGAAAAATAAATATACAATCGTTAACATTATCTAGATTCTAGGACAATTTAAAAAAATCGAATTCCATCATCGTAATTAAAAATAATGTGCTAACTTGTAACACAATAGGTAGAAATGTAATTCATCGTCTGTGAATGAATGGATCTTGAAACACGTAAATAACAGTATTGAAACATTATAGTTATTTTAATTATATCTCGGAGTATTATCAAATCCCGAATGTCCATTTTAACATTGTAATCAAACCAAGAACAGAACTATGGAAAATATAAATATTTTCCCCTGTTTTTAGTAGATATAATATTATCTAGAAATATTTTTTCTTATTGTAATTATATTTCATTTAAATTATTTAAAATCGATACACAAAAACGTATTTAACATCTGCCGAAGAATATTGTAAACTGAAATCAAAATTCGGAAGTTGGAGTCAATAATTGTTTATCCTCACAAATCGTTTACATAATTATAATATTACTTTAATCAAAATTAATAATTGTGGTTACAATAAGATATTTACCAACACAGAGAATATTATGACGCAATATAAACACGGTGCATGATGACATCAATAATGATATGGTTATTGTTTAGTGAATAGAATATGAAAAATAATAAAATATATATATGTATATATTTCAATGTAATAAATCGCACGYAGATAGTCATAGCACATAGATAAGTCATATCGCCGAAAACTAATTGCTTGAAATGCATCAAATTTCGAAATATTTGATTGATATGTGTTTTAATGGTACCTTTATATGCATTTTTATATTGTTATGGTGAAAAATGTGGCTTGGAAAAGTTTTTGTTTTATTCGGAGTAACTAGATGGGTTTTATAGAAAAAAGTAAGAACCAATTATAGTGAAATAATATACTCAAATGTACTCGTCGCGTGTTGCAGTTACTCTTGTGTTGACGGAAAATTTCGCTTAGAAACAAAATCGTACAACCCTGTTTGTTGGTAATAAGGATCATCTCAAAAAAAAATAAAAATAAAAAAAATACCATTTCGCCGCCGACCGACGCTTCGTATGTACCAATCTACCTGTTTATTCTTTACCCTACGAGTTCCGTATAAGTCCCCWATCCTAACCGAATGAAATTGTATTCTCATTGTAGATTTTTTATACTTTTACATTTTTATTATTATACACATATATAGGTACATATAGTAGTTATGTGTATATTTATTTTGGCACATAATCGTTTTGATTTCCCACGTGACGGTGCCATAATTGCAGAAAAACATCGACTGCGTTCGCTCATCTTCACATACAAATAAAATATAATAACGGTGAATGTGAAGACTGCGTAGAATGTGATGATATTTTGTTACGGATATGTTGTATTTTTATCTTCAACAAATATACAATAACAGTAAAATATTGTAATATGAATCTGCGTACGCATTTATATATATGTGTAGACATTAGAGTTACCCATGAAATGCCAAGTCGGGATTTGAGTAGGATAAATCACAAGTTTTTATACATTACACACATTTTTCTTGTAACGATTACGTAAACATTTTTTCTTCTTCTTAAAAGTCGAAAACTCGTTTTGAAATATTTGCATGAGATTATTGTCTTTATTTACTTATTCGGTAGGTACCTATTTGTGTTTAAAGTTGATRAAAAACGAGAACAGTTATTTAATCACAATAATCAATATCCCTAAATGAATAATCTCATTATCAACGGAAAAAGGCGTGAGAATGGTTTAGTTCAGCTGCTCGTAATATTTTCAATACTGACGCCTCGTACCTAATAAAGTGTGAGTATTGTGTATAGGTATGTAGTGTATCATAAACAAAATAATTGTCGTGGTTGTCGTTGTCGTTGTCATTGTTGCTCGCGTGTGATGATGTATTTTATTATGATATTATATTATACAATTTTAGTAGGTAATATAATATCGGTGGACGGATGTGGAAGCAATCGGGAAGAACGTGAGTGACGTGCGTTCACAGCCACTTGTTGCGAGCGTTGTTGCTCTTCCGTTTGCCCCACATCAAGTTGTATCATACAATCGTGCCCTGCAAGTGTTCGTGCGACGAGTGCGGCGACATGACCGGCGACGGCAACGGCGGATGGTGCAATGACGGTACTGTCACCATGCTTGTGTTGCTGGACATGCCTGGCGAGGACACCTCTTCCGGCGGAGTCACCTCCAGCCCGATGCTGCCGTTCAGCGCGATCTTAATGGCACTGCCGCTCATCTCGCTCGGGTGCAGCTGCAAACAGACAACGGTGGCCGGCATGAGCGTCGTCGTGCAGGAGGCGTTTGTCACCGGCCGAATCGGGTCAGTGGGTGTCGTAACGGCGGTGGTGGCGGGTTTGGGGTGTAGGCGTTAGTTAGGATGGTGGAGGGCGGTGGTGGTTGGGGTTGAAGGGTTGTGGCCTGAACGTGTGCTGTACATGGTATATTACGGAATAGTTTAAAGTGGTGGTTTTTTGTGGAGGTAGTGGGGATGAAGGTATCTAGTCATTAAAGTCGTATTATTTCGTTTGATATGGGCTGTTGCGTGTTTTTTATTTTTGAYGCAAGACACTCGCTTTCTTAGTCAATTTTGTTTTTTGTACAATTGTAGAAATATACAAGTCTGAAGTATGTAGTACTTACACTATATTTTTTTTGGGTTAATTTAAAGTTCATTAAAGAGTGGAAACTAACGAACAATAATTACATTCTTCAAAATATACTGAGTGATGCAGTGGCGCATACAGGTGTTTTAAGAGCACGTACAGTTAAAAAAAGTTAGTCAACTACCCACCCAAATTTTTATTTATAAAATATTTCACTTATTAATCACTGTAATTCAAGGAATTATTGGTTATAGACTAGCTTATGTTATAAATTTATAAAATTCCCTGTGACACCTGCAGTAATATACAACCGCCCCCTCGAGAACAAATATAGTTGCATTATACTTGTTAACTTTCCTGGGCGCCACCGGTCGAGTGAAGATTGTTGTACCGAAATTCCTACAGCTTTAGTTTTTATTTTATTTTCATCAGAACTCATATCTCATTTGTTGCAAAATATTTAATTAATAATTTATTGTAGTAAAAAACAAAAAAAGTGGTAAGTCGTGGATGTCGATCTGCTGTACAGTAGATTAAAAGTGGGTTACTGTAATGGATGGAATTAAATTTGAATACATATTCATAAGCCATGACATATTTGATATAATATCATTGTATACGAAAAACGATTCTGAGCGGAGACGGTTTATCTGTCTAGGCAGTGGCGGCGTGATAGGGTGTTTCAT